ATCTGATATGTTGGGTATAAAACGTTGTGCAAGTTCAATGTCTACGATAGGTTTACTTTTATTTCCTTTTCGTGGTTCAATTTCATTATTAATTTGATTTTGTGTTTCAGGTTTTTCGAAGAGATTTTCATATCCATCTGTTTCAGTGATATTCGTCTGGTAATACATTTTATCAATGATTTTGACATCTCTACTAATTACAACAGTTTCTTTTTCAGGTAAATATATGCGAAAACCTTTTGCGTTTTGTGCGTAACCAATAAAAATGCCTTCTGTAGCCTTTGGAGTAAACTTACCCTTTCTGTGTTTATTTAGCACGAACGCCTTGCTGCCAAAAATGTGCAAGTGATTTCCGGATGGTGTACGTCCCGTCCATTTTTTATGCGGGGTGCAACCTTTCAATGCTCTCGCTGGGTTTCTATTTAATAGATAGTTGGCAGTATACACCGCCTCCGCCCACAACTTCTGAGGTATTTTACCCTCTATCATCAAACAACGGGCTTTATCCAGCAGTGATCTCTTTTTCCTTTCGCTTTGCCCATTTTGCTGTGGCATGTATTGTGCAGACAGTCTTCTTCTGATTCCATGTTCTTTTAGGTAGGAATCAAATTCGCGATTGAGGTATTCTGTTATCAAATTGCAGATTTTTTATTTGTTTATTGTGAAAATTTTCTACTTTGTTTTTGTATTCTTACAATTTTTCGAATACTTCGTTTTTATGAGCAATGAAATATATACAGCAATATATTGTAAAGTCATCTAAAAATGTTACGAAATATCTGGCTCCGCCTAAAGATTCAGTTTGCATTGGGCCGCACACATCGCTATGGATTATTTCCAATGGATTGCTGGACTTTGTTCCCTCTAGGGAAACAAACGGTAATCGAGTCATCTTACCTTTTATGCAGACTTCGCATTTTGGTAAGTTCTCGTTCCTTAGTACCATACCTTTTATGAGGTTGTTTCTTGCCGCGAACTTTAGGTCGTTTTCATTTAGGTGTCCTAATTTTCTATGCCATGTTTCAATGTTACTTTCTGCAGTGTGAATCATTTTTGCCTTTTCACTTTTTGTATAAAGGCCATGCTCTTTTTCAGCGATCAATGTCGTGTGACCATATTTATCTTTGATAAGGGCTTTATCTTTTGTGAATGTAACGCTAAATCCTCTTTCTGTGATTTTGGATACTGACAATAGATTTGTTGACAGCGTGGGTACATACAGGGTGTTGTGTAAATTGTATGGCTCATCATTAATGTTAATTTTGACTTTGCCTTTTCCTTCGACTTTGACGGTGTGACTATTTGAAGCTAGCTTTAGGGCTCCGGTTTCAGCGCTCATGGTATCGAAGTGATCTTTCTGGGCACACATGTGGGAAGTACATCAACTGTCTACACACCATGCATCTGGAGAGGTAATGCTCATGCATGTGGGTGTTATATTGAAACTCTTACCAAGATTTTTGTTTGTTTTCTTTTTACTCCAGCATGTTTCTGTTGTGTGGCCTTTCTTTTTGCATGATTGACAGTATGCGCTTGTGTTCCTCTTTTTTGCGTAAAATGCTCCTTCGCCACTTTTTGTGCTATTTCTCGCGTCATTTTCTTCAATTATTTTGACCTTGAGTTCTTCAGGGGTAGGAAGTGTAACTCTGGATTCAATGGCTATTCTGAAATTTTCGAAATTTGACGGAAGGCTATAAAGCATCATAATGCTCAGCAATTCCGAATTGATTTTTACGTCCATATCTGCCAATTTGTCCACTATGTCAAGGAAGTTATTTAGATGGTCTCTTGTATCTTGTCGTTGAAGCTTTTTTCAGTACGAGTTGCTTTAGGAGAGTTGCTTTTCTTGCAGGGCCGGTGCTTTGGTACATCGCTTTAAGTTTTTTCCCATACTTGCTTTGATGTTAAACATCCTTTTACTTGTTTAAGCTCGTGCGGTGAAATTAGAAGGAAGAGTTCGGCTTTGGCCATCATGTCCTTTTTGGTGAATTCGCCTTGTTGCTCAGGAGTGGCTGATGGCGCTAAAATTTTGGCACCACTTACGTAATCCCATAACTCGGCTTTCACTAGAATTGCATGTGCTTGAAGACACCACGTGTCGTAGTTGTCTTTCGTAAGTGCCTCTACACGGTGATATGTAGAAGAAGTCATCTTCGATGTTTTATTTGCTGTCCCGAACCTTGGTGTGCTACCAATTGTTGGATTTGATGGACAGTAATGAAGTGACTTAAGTTTTTAATTGTATCAAATCGTGTATTTATTTTCCTTTCTATATTACAATATAAAGTTACCAAAATTGTGTGTATCAAAGTCTGCGGCCACGAAGTAAAAAGGAAGTAACCTCAGATTAGAGATGAGACGTCATAAAATATAGTTGTGTAGCAATCGATAAACTAGTAATTACACCATGCATACAACAGGGAGTCGGTAACGTCGATAACGATGCTTAACCGGAGATTAGTGTTAACCAGACATTGAGTACCCGGCCCTAAGTATTGCTCCATTCCATACTCTAAGGAGTGCTCTAATGAGAACTTTGAAGAGTACTCTATTAAAAATTTAAGGAGTACTCTTATCTAATGACATGCAAAACTAAAAAGGAGTAAAATTTGCATGAGCTTCGGAGTAATGGGGAGTGATTATATCTTCACATAGAATGCTCCTCTATTACCCTTGGATGATTCCTTTTTTTACTGGGTAATTCTATTTTGGTTTTTAACGAAAAGAAATTCAATCGTTAATGCTGAAGCTGTAACATGCATTTAGGTGCTAGGTGTTAATAGTGAGCTGGCAATTGCATGCAACAACAACTTTTCGTTGATTTATTTTGTTTCGATGTTAACGATTGATGATTTATTTCGTTTCAACGTTAACGATTGAGTTTTGTATCTTTAATTCAGCTCTGAAACGAAACGCAATTATTTTGATAAGTTATTTTTGCGCATCAACAAAACGAAATCGATTGATATAGTTTATTGAGCATCTCTGCTCTAGCCACTAGCGGCAGCCCAGGCATACGCACGCGGCACCCCAGGGGCCGCGTCACCCACTTTGGGAAGGCCTGCCGTAAAGCATGAACCAAAAATACAAGATCACGTAAGAACGCGACGTTGTATTTGTAACTGGTTTTGAGAAAAAAATTTGCGAAAGCGGGTTCGTCAGCTGAGCGTTTGTTTAGCATATTGTCAATCGAATGAACTTATAACTTCAAAGTGAATCATATGGATTGCATAAGTTATATAACAATTTTGAAAGTAACTACAAACCAAACTATATGCCAAGTAACCCAGCTGATATATGTAGACGTGTGTAACCCAGATAATCGTTTACTTATTAAAGAAGTATATATTACTTGTGTTGCAGAGACGTAGATATCAACAGCACATTTAAGTAAAGTCCTAATTTAAAAAAAAAATAAAAAATATTAAGTAATGTTATATTGAACTGTAAATAAACAAGTAATTTTCAGCAAAAAACCGACTTAAAAATATATATATATATACTTCATGATCCAATGATCGGATGTAAACCAGATTAGTATGGGACCTCTGGGACACTACCTTTCCGATGCAAAAAGAATATCGAAATTGGTTGACGTGGTCCAAAGTTATGCGGTAACATACATAAAAAAAGAATATTCCGACGAACTGATAACCTCCTCCTTTTTTGGGAACCGGTTAAAAAGAGATTTGATTTTAACAGTGAAGTTTTGAAAAACTTGCTAATTCGACATTTTAACAGTTTAAAACAATTTTCCTAACTTGTACAAAGAAAGCGACAAAGAGAAAATTTTTATACAATGACAACTTTTGAAATTCGATTATAAAATAGAATGCGTTAAAGACATACAACAGGCTTACTCCCCCTAAAAAATTATTTAAATAACTCGAGCTAACTTCTTTTATTTTTAATACCTTGGTTATAATGCACGGGGCGAATCGTAACAAGTCGCGGCGAATTCGTAAGGATCTATTGATTTTAGATGCTTCCGTTTTACATTGCGTTCAAGTGCATTATAATCGTTTGAATTCATTGCCCATACAATAGATAATTAAGTGACAGTTCACTCTGTTCCGTTACTTCCATTATAATCCCGGCATAACTTGTTATGTTTGCCGCACGGCTCCGCCGCGTCAAAGCGCATTTTCTCAGATCTGAATTTGATCAAAACAAATAGAACAAATCGCTCCACCTAGCCAACGATGCAATGCATAATGTATCCTAAAGGCGTTAAAAATGATTAAAAAATTTGAATTCTGAGCGCTATAAGTACAAAAAGTATTTAAACTACAAATAAGATTATACATAAGACATTTTTGCTGTTTTTATTATACTAATACCAATCACAATTGATATGTGTACTTTTTTTGCAATCAATAAATGTTATATTGTTTTGAAAAATGGCTTTTCATAAAAATTATTGGTCTTATTCCATATTGATATTTGCCCTTAAAATAAGTCTCATCTCTGCTACAAGTTTTCACAAGCCCGCGGTCACACTGGTTATGGGTACCGAACTTTTTTGAAGTAGTTGGTACCGAGTATTGGGCACCGACAATTCGGCACATCACTAGTGTGGTGTGGCTGGGAAAAGCAACAATAGGTGAGTGTACCGTTTTAAAAATATATTAAAATTAAATCAAATGTGTAAGTGTCGTAAAATAATTCGGGCAAGATAAATAGTTGTGCAAAACAAAAGCAATAACTTAAATAATAAAAAGTGGGTTTGAGGCTGGTATAGCTTTTTAGTGTTTAACCGGAGTTTTTGTTGCGGGGAAAGAAAACAAGAGGTTTTTGCTGTCTTGCATTTTCAGTCTGTCGGCTTTTAGCGGGTACCGTGCCCTCCCATTTTGCCATGGTAGACACGTTTTGCGATTTTCGGTTTCATGTTCTTCCGTGCATGAGCGGGACAACTAATGAAGTGTCATTGACTTCAATAGTTGTTGCCGCTGTCAAAAGTGTACATGAGGTAAAGAGGAAAAGTTAACGAAAAGTGAAGCAAAGCGAACAGGATGATAAAGAAGTGTCCAGAAAGCAGGGCATAAAATTTTATTCATTTTCGTGGCTGCTGACAAAAATGTCTGAATTGTGAATGAAAAGCAAATTCCAGAGTTCGTTTATACAGTGCTGCAATAAAAGAAAATCCAACGAAAACGCAGGAAAATCTGTATTTAAGCGTCTGGAAAAAATAATTTTGTTTTGTGTTATTCATTTTTTGTTAATATTTGCAAAATACTACCCCTAATGTACGTAGAGCTCTTAAAAATTTAAGTAAAGCATACAGAGTTATCATGTGTCGGAAGTACACTAACATCGTTTGCTTGTATTCGTATTTTCTTTTTAATTTTCAGAAAAATGAGCAGTTCCGAAGAAGTCTCTTGGGTAACATGGTTTTGTGGACTGCGCGGCAATGAATTCTTCTGTGAGGTATGTACTTTAATAACTTACAATTATCTAAGTATATTGAATCAAAAATTACATTTTAAGATTATTTCAATTCCTCTTTGTTATCTAATCGCTGTAGCTCTCAAAAATGTAGGAATGGAAGAAGGCAGCATGCAAATAATTCCAATTGGCGACAAAAGTTCTTTAAATTGTCGCCATATAATTTGATTTAGCGTTCTGCCTCCCCTATGCTTTATTACATTGATAGATCGCACTTATCGATCTAGTTTTAATATATTTAAATACATACTTATATGTTATTAAGTATTTGTCGTTAATTTCTATGTATGTATTTATATACTTAAAGGTAGATGAGGATTATATACAGGACAAATTCAATTTGACTGGATTAAATGAGCAAGTACCAAACTATAGAAATGCTCTTGATATGATCCTCGATCTCGAGCCGGGTATGTTAAAAATAATATTTTGACCTCAAAATTATTAAGCATTTTAATAATTCAACAGAAGATGATCTGGAAGAGAACCCATTGCAATCGGATATGACAGAGCAGGCGGCTGAAATGTTGTATGGCTTGATACATGCTCGATACATTTTAACAAATCGCGGAATTGCGCAAATGATCGAAAAATACCAAACAGGTGATTTTGGACATTGCCCACGTGTTTATTGTGAAAGCCAGCCCATGTTACCTTTAGGTATGCTTTGTTAAAAATGTGGCACCAATTGGATAAACCACTATAAAGATGTAAAATAAATTGCAGGTTTGTCAGATATACCTGGTGAGGCTATGGTAAAAACCTATTGTCCCAAATGTATTGATGTATATACGCCAAAATCGTCACGTCATCATCACACGGATGGTGCTTATTTTGGTACAGGATTTCCACATATGCTCTTCATGGTACATCCTGAATATCGTCCTAAGCGGCCGACTAACCAATTTGTTCCAAGGTATATAATATACGTGTCGATTAGATGGCTTAATTATGGATTACGGTATATAATTTTAGGATATGTACGTATGTATGTATGTATTATAATTTTATACATAATTTAGGACCTCAAAAAGCTTAAACTACATTAATATAAGAAACAAAATTTTACAGTATATAATACAACCTCGTCACTTGAATAAGCACATATCGATAGCTGAGTGGAAGATCGACCTATCTCGGCAGCCAGCTCGAAAACGCCCTATCTCAGAAAATGTTTCAACAACGGTCTATCAGAAAGCTTTTCAAGAGCGCCCTACTCCAGAATTTGATTGCAAAACACCGTATGTTGTTGTTGTTGTAGCGGTTACAACAACCCCGCCCAGGACGGTTGGTATCTCAGTCGTTGTCGTCAAGTTCCACTAACGGCAACCCTAGGAAGCGTGCAGCTTCTGTGGGGTTTGTCCACAGGGACATGGCCGTTAGGGTTGTCGGGTTTTCCGGGCATGCGAAGAGATGTTTCGAGTCATGTGGGGTCTTTCCGCATGCCGGACACTCATTCGGCACATCCTCATTCAACCTACTCAAGTAGGAGTTCAACCTGCTGCAGTAGCCGGAGCGAAGTTGTGCGAGTGTTGTGCGTGTCTCCCGAGGCAGATGAAGCTCCGTCTCGTCTATTTCCGGGGGTGGTATGCCTAGAACGGCATTCACAGGTCTAGAGTCTACATAACTCGAGACTGAGTCCCTGTGAATGCCGTTCAGGGCCTGTCTGTAAGCTGTCGGGTCCAGAGGTTGCTTAATGAACCTCTGGACTTCGTCCGTCAATTCATATAGATGCCTCCTGACGTGCCTAGGCGAGGGCTCCTCTGCAAGCAGCTGTCTGCTTGGGTGGCCACTTCTGTGGCTTCCGATCAGTAACTGCTTGGAGAACATTATATTATGCTCCTTTACTGGGAGCATTTGCGCCTCGCCGTGCAGGTGGTGTTCAGGCAACATCAAGAGGCATCCTGTCGCTGTCCTGAGTGCGGTGTTCTGTACAGTCTGTAGCTTCGTCCACTGCGTCCTACTAGACCCTGGCGACCACACTGGCGCTGCGTAGTTCAAAACCGGCCGGCCTATTGCCTTGTATGTTGCCAGCAACGTTTCTTTGTCTTTGCCCCAAGTACTGCCGGCTAGCGACTTGAGGACCTTGTTGCGGCTCTGTACTTTATTGACAATAGCGGTTGAGTGCGCAGAGAAGGAGAGCAGGCTGTCGAATGTTACTCCGAGTATTTTGGGGTTATTCACCTTCGGAATTGGTGTGTCATCGACGTGAATCCCCAGCGGTAGCCTGACCTCCTTCGTCCAGGTTGTGGACAGGGTCGCGGAGGATTTCGTAGGGGAGAGGGCTAGACACTTTGCAGTGAAGAAGCGAGAAAGTTCGGAGAGATAGCCGTTTACTTTCGAACAAAGGTCATCAATTCCATTCCCAGTCGCCATGATCGAGCAATCGTCGGCATAAGAGACAATCGAGACTCCCTCTGGTGGTTGAGGGAGCTTTGAAATGTAAAAGTTAAACAGTAGCGGGGAAAGGACACCACCCTGAGGAACCCCCTGTTTTATTTTTCGCTGCTTACTCGTTTTGTCTCTAAACATTACCGACGAATGTCGACCACTCAGATAATTTGCCGACCACCGTTTGAGCCTCTGTGGGAGAGAGGAGGCCTCTATATCTTCTAGTAGCGTGGAATGGCAGACGGTGTCAAACGCCTTTGACAAGTCCAACGCTACTAGAATCGTTCTCTCACAGGGACGGTTACGGTTAAGGCCACGAGTTATCTGAGTGTTTATGGCGTTAAGTGCTGTTGTTGTACTGTGCACTTTACGGAAACCATGGTGATGCTTCGCTGGGGTCAGGTGGTTTGTGAAGTACGGGAGTAGCAAGGCCTCGAGTGTCTTCGCTACCGGGGAAAGGAGTGTAATCGGACGATACGAATCTCCTTTGTTGGCAGGTTTCCCCGGTTTGAGCAGTGGGACCACTCTCCCCACCTTCCAGATGTCTGGGATGATGAGAGTGGCCATTGACAAGTTGAGGACCTCCGTTAGGTACGCTACCCCCGCAGGACCCAAATTTTTCAGCATCAGCATGCATATTCCGTCGGGACCCATGGCTTTGGAGGCTTTCGCCTTCCCGATGGCCACCTGAACTTCACCCCAAGTGAAAGCAAGGGGGGCACAAGTTGTTGGCATTTGTGCAGCCTTCTGGTCACTCGACGCTTGGCTTTGTCCACCGGAGGATGCAGTATGAACTGCCGGCTAAAATAGCTCGCGCATCGCTCCGGGTCCGACGAGGCATGGTCGCCGAAGGAAATGACCTCACGGTTGACCAAAGCTTGCTCACACCAGAGGTGAAATTACAAGTCTTCAGATGCTCCTCCCACTTCTTCCGCTTATGTACTTTTACAAGTTGCCGAATCTCCGCGTTGAGATCCCTGATACGCGGATCTCCGGGATCGGCCTGACGAAGGCTATCACGCTCATCGGCTAGAACAGCCGCTTCGGCAGGGAAGTTTAGACGTGGGTCCGATATACATCCTGCCGGTATGAAGCGAGCTGCAGCAGCAGTGATAGCCCTGCGGAACTTACGTTCACCGAGATGGACGTCGGTTGGTGTGGGGAGCGCTGCGAAGGTGTTTTCGGTATACTCCGCGTAACCTTTCCAATCAGCTTTAGAAAAGTTGATATAGGTCCGGTGTTTGGCGGAGGCAAAGTCGGTTGGTTTATCTATCGAGATGACTATGGGTAGATGGTCTGATGCTAGAGTCAGCATAGGTCGCCACGTTATGCTGTTTATCAGACCAGCGCTGACTATTGTGATGTCTGGCGAGCTACTGCAGTTACCCATAATCCTGGTGGGTGCGTCGTCGTTCATTGTGCAGAATGTCGAATCGTCTATCTGCTCAGCCAAGTCTGTTCCCCTACGATCGTTTGACAGGCTTAAGTGCCAAATATCGTGGTGCGCATTAAAGTCACCTACTACCATACGGTTTTCACCTCTGAGGAGCGCACCTATATCCTGCCGGGCAGCAGGCGACAGGGGGTATGTATATGTTAAATATTTCGAGCTCGACATCGCCTGACCGGATAGCGATGCCCTGACATTCTAGGGTGGTATCCCTGCGGTCGATGTCTGCTTCGATAAGACGATACTGCACGGTGTGGTGCGTGATGAACGCTAAGCCACCACCATTATCTCGCTAGCGATCTCGACGGTGCACGTTGTACCCGGCGCAATTCAACAAAGTTGAATTGCTGTGCAACTTCGTCTCTTGGACCGCAGCTATCAATATACCATGCCGACGCATGAAGACGGTTATCTCCTCAAACACCGTATCTCACAGTTTGGTTGAATAACGCCCTATTTCAGCTACCTACTCAAAAACGTCCTATCTCAGCATATTTTCAATGTATTTTCATTTGAGATAGGGCGTTTTTGACCCGAATTTTGAGATAGGGTGTTTTGCAATAAAATAGGTCGATCTTCCACTCAGACATCGATATGTATTTTTTCTTAGAGAAACGAGTGTTCATCAGATTTTGAAGAATGGTTGATTCTAAAAAAAAAATTGTGTGAAGCAAGAAATTTTCTTGCATTATTTCTATTTTAATTATTTATGCTCCTTTTTAATAGGCAATATTTAATTCAGTTAACTTAGAAGTGAGATTACCTTTCAATCGTAAGACCACTGCACCAGGATTAGAACTGGTAGCGTTAATGTCACCGAAATAGTGATTGGATAAGAACATAGGTCTTCCTTTCCAAAACTGTGGCACATTATCGAAAATATTTCTTGAATATATCGGAGCTATATTTTATCTAACCGTGAGCATCCTTAACTCATTTATTCCCATCAACCTTAAAAACTTGTTTTTATTTGCTTTTTATTTTATTAACAGGAAGACAAATAACATAAAATTTACGAACTCAATCACTCAAAAAATTTAGAAGTAGGTTTTAAGGAGTACAATGGGAAGAAGTGTGTTCATTTTCTAGTAGGTGTATTTTTAAAACACGACACGTTGGTGGCACTATGTACATACATCTTCAAGAGTTTTGAATCCTTTTTGTAAAATGAGGTCCTGTATAAGCAACACTTGCTGTGAACGCACGTTTCGAAGCCATTTTATCTTCGGTATAGTATAGATAATTGGCTATTATCTGCTACATGGATAAAGTTTTTGATGACATAAAATCTGTTTCTTGACATATTTTTGGCAACAATTGGTGTCGTTGTGTCTTCGTCCATTTCCGCCGCCATAAAACAATATTCCTATAAATGTATATAACTTCTCCCCAAATATAAAATTATGTTCATTGTGTGGCTGGGCATATGACCGTGTTTGATATATTATAAGTTCCACAACATCTCTGTCGGAAATGGTGTCAAAAACTTCCACCGGGGATTTATGCGCCAAATTTATTTTTTTGCTCGAACATTGGCTTTATAATTACTAATAACAGTGATGTTCATATTGGGCGCATCTTTTGACCAGCAAGGGATCGCTAAAGTTTCATTTCTTAGTGCGGATTTAATTTCTGATAACGGTGTGCCATCTTCACATGTCGTAATCGTCATCGCTGCAGAAAAGTTCGATATTGCCAGGGACATATTTTGGCATCGTTTCTTCCTCAACCGTGTTGTTGAGCGGTATTATAGCAATATCTATTGACGATGGTCCTTAGTTGCTTACAATGGCGTCTATTGCACTTGAAAGACTAGTGTATTTTCTTCTATAAAATTATTGCCGTTTGTGGTGGTTCGAAATCCATTCCAGTAAAAATTAATCCAACAAGGTTTTTTCATACATATTTTTCCATTGTACTCAAGCAGGTACACCTGTTTTAAAATCAACTTACCTTCGCTTTTCCAAAATTGTTTTTATTTCTTATTCATATATATACTTATGTACGTAGTTATTTCCTGCACTGATTTTACAACTCACAACTTTTTAGGGAAAACAAAGTCTCATCACCAATGC